TACCCCTTGTAAAATTACAAAGGAAAAAAGCACGTGCTAGGAGGAAAATAAAAATTTTGCAGCAGGAAAAAAAAGAAGGCTTGACATATCATCCCGGGGAATTTTAGATTATTTTGAATAGGGTAAGTGGCTTTTCACTGCAAAATAAAACTTTAATTGTGTTTTTCTCAAAATAGTGTTTTTGAAGCAAATTTGAAACCATTTACATGATATCTCAAGAAATAATGGAGATAATGTCCTGAAATTTTCTGAGAATGTTTTATATTCTATTCTTAATGAAATGGACCAAAATCTTTGATGTAGGGGGAATATATTTTTATTTAGGACTGTTTATGTAAAGATAAAGTTGAAAAAATTGCAAAAATGTCCATGTTAAAAGGTGCGATTACCTGCAGATTTTTTAAATTTTATTATTTCACTTAGATTTTGGTTCATTTTGAAGAAAATTGTTATATGTATTTTGTGTGCAAAGGAAAGTGATGTAGCTGCATTAGAAATTTTAATATGGTGTTAGCCGTTTCAGTCAAAATATGCTGAAATTTCCTTGAAAATGACCAATTTATCAAAAAGTACAATATTTATTTAAAATTTTTTATGTGTTTTCTTATTTTTATGTACTATTTATACTAACAACACAAAAAAATGTGCAAAAATTAGTTTTTTTAAAAATTTTGGTCTCGAAGGTAGGCAGTCACCTTCAGCAGATACAGAATCAGCCTGATCAATATAAAGTGTTTGTATATAAAAAATATTATTATTCAGAAGATCTTAATTACGCTTTAACTATTAACTTTTATTTTCAAAGGGTTTAGAATAATTACAATACTAGAATAAATAATGAAGCCTTTATTTTTAACATGTTAGAATCAACCGATGATTCAATGATACGTAACAATATTTATACATGAAATAATTTGAAATACAAAATAAACTTAATCAAAACAAAAAGCTAAAATGACCATTAACAGTTCAAAAATACATTTGTTTAAAGCATAAAATAATTTAAAGCTTATCGGAAGTATACAAACAAACGACAGAAGCAATTTGAAATAGGCTTAGCTTACCAAACGACATTTTAACAACACAACTATACTAGAATAAGACTATAGATATATAAAAATATACTCAGATTATTTTCTACTGAATATAATAATGTAAGAAATATGATAATATTAAAAATATTTATCGTAATAAAGTAGATGTACAAGATGTAAACAACTAGTACATAGAGGAATCCGATGTGAATTTATTCCACTTAACTTATGTTTTTAATATTACACAAGTTTTATATGTTGGAAAAATTATTATTATACTCGAAATATTATTTGCGACTAATTTAATGATATGGTGAATGTGACAAATGTTTACCTTATTTTGGCAGATTATTTAAAAAAATGATAGTGCAAAAAGTTCCATGCAATCTACTTAGATACAAGTCATACGTGCTCATTTTAAAATTCCTGTGTTTTTCATGCAGCGTGGTAAATACGAAATATAGTTCGAAAGGTTTAAGTGAATCATATTTATTTTTGAACACCAATTTTTAAAATACGTAGCCAGTACGTTTCAGTATAAAAAAGGAACTTTTGTAGTCTCTAATATCTATAATAATTTTTTGAGAGTGTTGATTTACTTTTTGGGTGGGTGGGGTTGAATACACGTAATGTTTTACATTCGATAAAGACATACGTTTAAATCTGATATAAACATACTCTTTCAAAATGAGTACGTCTGGATATTCATTTTTGAGTATTTCTTTTTTCTCCGTATACCAATCGCGGTTCAACAAACTTTAAAAAAATAATTGAGCTCGCGACAACGAGTCCAAAATATTTCATAAAGATAGGTAATATTCCATCAAAATGCCTCAGCTTTCTCATTTTCATATGTTGCTTTTGTCGCAACAATTTTTTATATTCCTTTTCCCTTGAAATTTATTGGATTATATTTTCTGTCCTGCACGTATTCTGAAATCTGAATACTGTTATATTAATTGCAATTTAACACCAATTGGCTTTAGTGCCAATAAAATACTCGTATCCATTTAATTCATTTGATAGCTTTTGTGTCGCTTGTAAGACGACATTGTTTTAAACCAAGAAATTCGATAATCAGTTTCATCAGAGGCCACCGTAGCCTTGTGGTCGCAGCCGGCGGTTTTCGACCTGTCGTGGATTCAAGCCCTGAGGCCATTAATGACCCGCAGTGTAGCCGGGGCTGATGCACATTAAGTCTGCCGTGGCTCAAAGTCCTCCTGTTGCCATGGTAGGGTAGTTAGGAGAAGATGATGTCAGCCAAGTATTGTTCTCGTCACTTGACTGAGGTTCAAAATTATGAGGTCCGTCGTCTGTAGCCCTCATGTTACTTTTAGTTAATAAAACCAACCAATCAATCAAACCTCTTGTGACGTGGAAGATGTGTGTGGGGTTAATTGAAATAATATTTGATCATCGTACCGTAGCTTAAGATTAAGGATCGTTGTCATTAGGTTAATTTATTACTATCGAGTAACATTTTTCAAATCAAAATTATGACTAATTTTGTCCATGATTATTGTGATCATAACATTTATAGATTACTTTTTAATTTGCAGATTCTTGCTACAGTTACAAGTAATTAATCAGCTCGCAGTATTTAAATACTTCCTCGGAATTCTCTATGGATCCCGGACTGCTACAGGAAATCAACAGGCTTTGCGATGAAGCTAAAGCAAAGGTATAGAATGTCTGTTTCTTTCCTCTATCATTTAAGTACTGAAAGTGATATTTTCAACCTCTTTATGAAAAAAAATATCTCGCAAACACCATTATGCCTTTTGAAGATCTATATTTCAAGCGGGAGGCTTTTTTGTATCAATTTTCCTCCGTTTCTTGCAGATTTTTTTTCACTCACATAAAATGTTAATAATACGTAGTTGTTCTTAGGAGAAAACTATTGCGCGAAAGGAAATCACTATGCTTTTTTTCAATTAGCTGCAGACGATTTTTATACTTTTTGACAGAGCACGCAAAAGCTTTTTAAGGCTCCCGTCTACCGGCCATTTTGATTTCGTGAACGTAATGTTAATCTTGTGGATTTTTGATTACCGTTCTCATATCTTTGCTATTTGATCCATTCGAAAGCAATAGAGTGCAAAAAAAATAATGAAGGCTTCTGCAGCATTACTTTTTCCCTCCCGATTTTTAAAAATATTTTTATCCCTATTTTAATGATTTGTTTGTGAGTTTTTCGGTCTTTAAAATATTTTAAATATCTTTAAAAATTTGAGGGAAAAAAGTAATTCCACAGAAGTCTTCATTATAGTTATTTGTTGCTCTTTTAGATGCACTTTATTGCAATCAAATACATCAAACAGTAAAGATTTGAGAGCAAAAGTAGAAATTCCATTGGATTAACATCACGTTCACGAAATCAAAATGGTCGGTAGACGAGAGCCTTAAAGGTTAAATAATAGTTTGCATCGTTTCATTCTTTGTGTTCCATTTATTCAGTCGCCTAATCCTATGAATCAAAGCAGTTCAGTTTGGAACAGTGCATAAAAATGAAACTGCTCTATCAAATAAAAACTCAGTTATCTGCTAGAAAAGCTCTCGTTAATGTCTAAGGATTCATTCATAAGAGAGTTATTGTTTATATAAGTGTTCTTCATGACCATCGAAAATTAATGCAATTTAAAACTTTAAGTCTTTAGAGATAGTTGTAACAGTACATCTGTGGAAAAGAAATACTATCCATTGCGATCTGTTAGGCTCTCGTTCTCCAGAGCAGAGCAAGACTCACTTAGCTAATGCATCACTTGAAAAATTAAACACTGGACAGCACTCCAACATCATCCTTACAGTCCGAACTTAGCACTTTGGACTACAATTTGCTTGGACCCCATCCCTCCCAAAAGAGTGATTAGGAGGAAAGAGATTTTCATCCAATAAAGCAGAAAAATTTGTTCGCGATTGGATTCGTGCGCCTCTGATTTCTTTTTATCATGAAGCCATGGTAGCCTAGTGGTCACTTTTACAAACTCGAGGCCGGCCTAGTCTCGAGACTCCTCTAAATCAATTGGCAGTAACGAATGACAGAATGCATAACGTGCCATTACTTAGTCAAAGCGAGCTAATGAATCGTGTATTGAGAGTTACTTGTTCAAGGGGGAGGGGAAGTTACATTGCTCTATTCCCAGCACGAAATAATTTCTACCGGATTCTTGGTCCATCAAGTCAGAGAAAAGACCCACCGATTTCTTCAATGTAGTTTGCTGCAGACCCTGGACGAATAAGGCTATTAAAGACCTATTCAAAAGTGCTAGGTATGCCCGTAATTTTGACAACCGCTCTTATGTATTAATGGCTCTCGCGTTGCGACATTAATAAAGTAAAAACTGATTTATTTATATCCAATCTCTTACAATAATTGTTTTTATTATTTATATAATTTGTTTTTTCAGGGGGACGATTCCGCCTTCTTACTCTTCTGTATTGATGATGTCTTAGAAAAAATAAAACAATGGAAGCTGGCAATGCCAAGAGTTACTCCATATTATGGTGAGTTTAAATCTGATTTGGGTTTTATGTCCATTTCTTAAAGCTATCATGAAGAATTTTTGCTCGGTTATTCACAAATCAGCTTAAGTTTGTGTAGGAAACGGCTGATGTGTCTGATATTTTGATTCCTTTCTGCACGCGCATTCTGCTATTCTTGCATTAGTTTAGTCAAGGTGCAACAAATAAAAAGTTATGCTGTCAAAAGTTCTTTATCAAAATTTTGTTCAATAATCGCTTTTAAATAACTTTAATGCCTTGAGGTGAAGCACTTTAAAAATGCTCTTCACGTCTAGCCTGCCTTATCGGATCTCCCGTAGCCCATGAGTGCAGGTTGAGAAGCAGTCACACCCCTATGTGATATAGAATTCGAAAGTGCGACTTAACCTCTCCTCCCTAAAGAGTGGCTAGCCACACTTGACATGAAGATTCTGAATATTAAAATACATTCCAATTAACTTTAATCATACTTCCACAGGTTCACCCACGAAAATCTTATGACTTTACTGCCACTAAATAACCAAGTTCGACCATCTTTACAGCACCTCGGCTCAATTAACAAAGGGAGAAATTAAAGCACCAGTTTCGAAGCCTGTCTAAAGCAATCGGCAGTAACGACGAATAGTATGTCTAAAGTGATGGTACTTTGTTAACACGAGCTTATGAGACATGTGTATTGAAAATTCGTTGTTCAAGGGGGAAATTACATTACCCTATTTCCCAGCACGAAAGAATTTTAACTGGATACCCAGTCTTTTAGGTCAGCGAAAGCCCCAATTGATATCTTTAATATAGTGCGCAGATGGCTCTGGACACTTAAGGGCATTAAATACCTACACTGGTGGGATGTGAAAGTTTAGAGAGGAGATGCAGCTTAGGTGTCGTCCTCATCACTTGACCGAAGCACAAAATTATAAAGTCCGTCACCAACATAAACTTAAGGTTTCTTCTCAGTGTGACGTTAATAAACAATCACAATTGTGACTGAGGACCTCTCTGGTCCTCTAAGAAGAATGTGCCCTCGATACGATCGAAAAACATCAATTTAGAGCCTTTTCTTTATTGGAACTAACCAGACAAATCTTTTCCCATGAACTAAGAACGGTTTTACACCGCCCACTGAATCAGAAAAGACCTCTTAATTTGTCAATCTTCCCCGTGTCCGGACCGAATCAATTTTTCCGTATTGAATCAAATTAAGCTGCAGGCTCCATTTTCATATTATATCGTAGTACAAGTGCATTTGTACATTAGAATCTAAAGTCCATTGATTAGTGATATTTCAGTATTTGTTAATTTTATAAACTTGAATGTCGTTAAATTACTTGACTTATCGGTGGAGTTTTTGATTTAAAACTCGTAAATATAATACCATAAGCAAATTATGCTATTTAAATTTACTGAGAATTATCACACTAGGAGATAAATGCAAAAATAGTGCATTTTTGACTTAACAAAACATGGACTACTTGTGCCTTGACATTTTACACTTACCAGTTTCTATAAATTTCTTTCAGCTATGAAATGCAATGATGATCCAATACTGTTGAATATCCTAGCGTCTCTCAATATTGGTTTTGACTGTGCTAGCAAGGTATGGAATAATTTCGATTCAGTAATACGTGGGTTAAAAGTTTTTAATATAATTAAAATTTCTCTATCTTAATTCCACATGAGCTGCTTGAAGCTTGATCATTTTTTTCGAGTAGGTTCAAGGTGAATACCACTAATTCCTTCTAGACTTTCCTTGAATTCTTTCCTTGAATTTCCTTGAAGCCCCATTCTCTATGAAAGCTTGATATAAAACGAGGGTGGATCTAGATATCAATGAGAGTTTAACCTGCAGCAGATAATTTCTTATGCATTTCCCATAGAAACCATAAGTTATATAAGGAGAAGGTTAAAAGCATATCGAAGGAAAATACTTCTCATTATCTACATTTCATTCTCCAAGATAATACAAAATCGCACACAGCTGGTGTAATATACGAAAATTTTAAAGATTTAACTGAAGAACACACACGCACGCATACACACACACTGTATTACGAACTTAGTACGTAAGGAATACCATTTACTTGGCTCCCCTCAAAAAAGCGTCAAGAAAAGAAAGATTTTATCGAATGTAGCGTAATTTTTGCTCGATTGGCTGAGTACACATTCTACTTTTTACCACACAAGAATTAAAAAATATTCCCAATGCGCTGAAAAAAATGTGTAGACCTTAAAGGAGAACATACAGAAAAATAAGTGTATCTTGGCTAAGTAGTATTTCAGAAAAGATACGTTTTTAAAAAGTCTTTTATATTTGATCCGTCCTCGTATATGCATAAAGTAAAAATATTTGAGTCAGTTACATTAAAAAAATCAAAATAGTATATACAGAAGTGCTTATTTCTTAGTATTTTAAGAGTATGTGCTTATTAAACTCGCATAGTCCAGATATTACCGATAATTTTGCTGTAATTTGTAGTTGACGGAATCAACTACGTATTGACGCTCGCTTGAAGTCTCTAGTTTAATTATCTTTAGCTACACTCTACTAAGAACTACATTTGCAATTCTGAACTCGTCTCCCACAGAGTCGGCAAATTTTGTAAAGCTTTCACGTGCGGTTGACTTGACGCATTGTGTGAATTTTCATTGTTGGCAACAATTTTTTCGATGATACTGCCCGCGATCATAGATACTGTCTTCTGAGTCACTCTGAGTTGATTATTATCTTACGAAATATATTAAAAACTACCTACACGTTAGCCACTAATTGCAGTTGCTGTGTGGTTATGCTGTGGTTCGTGTAAAGTTTTCTTTTATTAAGTTTAGCATTGATTCTGTTTTTAGATTTTGTGTACAACTTCGTTCGTAACAAGTGGCTTCCATTGCTTAGTCATTGATAGCGCCTTCCCCCTCAGAGGATCATTTTCTTCTTGTAGGTACAGGAATCATACCCCCTAGGTACCCTAATGATTTTTTCTTCACTATGGGGTTTACTGTCTTTGAAAAAACATAGGTGACGCATCCCCTTGGATTACTTTAGCTATCCTTATATATTTTCGACCGTACTTCTTGTCAATCTATTATCTTTTTCCTTTTTGCATATATCTGATCAGAGTTAAACTTGGCCGCAGCTCAGCCAATTCTAGTTTTTGTTCCATTAAATTTCCCCATTACTCACTCAGATTCATTTAGATGCATTAACTTTAACTCTAATTTTCTAGTTAATGAGCTAAAGCTTAGACGAGATGTATAATTTTGTTCGAAAAATCTGGGTAAGCATTGGAAAAAATCCGCCACATGCAGTGGCTACAAAAGATATATATACCTCCCTTTTTAAGTGTAGACTAATTTTTAACATGGAATATGATCCATCTATGAGTCTAAAAGACGAAAATCATACAGGCAATCATCACACAATTACAATTATAACACATTAAAAAATACCGAATGAAGAAATTTAAGAACTTGTTACACAAAAATAGATAATAAAATTTCTTGAAGTCCGCTTCTATAGAAACTTTTAGAAACGACTGTATAAATTGAACCGTAATCAATGCTCCAGGACTCGTTATAGTTATGCTCTTGGTATACTCGTCAGGTTTCCTTTAATCATATTTCATTAAACAAAACTCTTAAGTTTACTGTGCAACAATTTCAATTTAACTCTGCTGTTTGGATATTCGCGATTTTCTCTTCACTAACCTAGGGAACTTTTTGGTAATTTGATTCGCATGAGATTACAATATCTTCCCAATCAAAAATAAAACATAATTAGGTAAGTTAGATGAAAATTAGAAGTGGAGTGAATTGAGACAATGATATATAAGCGAGATAGTTGAAAGAAAGAAGGGAGAGACCGTCGAATAGATATTTTAAATTGGATTGAAACATCGTAATTTATTATTTGGAATTAAATGACTTCTAGTTAAAGTACTAAAATACGAATCTGCTGTTACCGAAAATTGTTTGAATCTGAACGAGTGATTTAGTAAGCTAAGACTTAATTATTAGAACATAAACTAAGAATGACTCAATTAAGAGAGATCTGAGAGAGAGCTTATAAATTTTTTGGTAGTAAATAAAGTCCTGATCTTACATATCTCTTATTGGAGTTTTGAACTTGTTGATTATTTCGACACAGAGATGGCTGTAGAATTAAATAACGAAGAAAACCCGTCACAAATTCACCTTTTAAGATCACACATAAGCAAAACTAGAATAGGAAAATTTTTATGAATGAAAACACAATTTTGGTGCATTATTCTCTTAAACTGACTATAAATTATTTGTTTCAGGAAGAAATGAAAACAATTATTGGACTTGATGTTCCTACTGATCGAATTATTTACTCCAACACCTTCAAGAGGCCAACTCACCTTCAATATGCCGCCGAAAATAGAATAGACTTGATGACCTTTGATACAGAGGCTGAGTTGCTAAAGATTAAACAATATTTTCCAACTGCAAGGTAAGCTGTGTAATATTCACATGTTAAAGATAGTTTTCTGTTAACGGAACAACAGCAAAATTTATATGCGAGGGCGCAAAGAATAATAGCTTTATACCGCAAAATGTTCTCGTATTTTTTGTACATTGAAAAGGTAAAAAAATAATTTACCGAATTAAATTCTGTTTTATTTTTCTCGAGCTTATGAGCATTATTTCATCGTATTTTAACCCTAATATTTTTCTTTGTATTTTGTATTTCATCGTATTTTAATTATCTTTACTGGGTTTCAAAAGCTATCCCTTAAAGAATTTTAAAATAAATATTTGGCACAGGTAAGTCAGATTTGGCTCTTTCATCAATGAACCTGGCATACACTCACTATTTTGGTGACGGGAAAATAAATAATGGCGCCAAAAGCGCGTTATTCAAAGACAAAGTCGTAGCAATGCAAATGGAACCCATATTTAATAAAGTTGTATTAATACAAAGGTTGGCAAGTCGGAGCATCTATCAAGCTTTTTGGCGCCATTTTGTTTTCCAGTGCTAAGACATGTGTTAAAATAGGGTCCAATCTAATTTTAACAATTTAGTAACAGTTGGACAAAATCTGTATCAATGCTAATTGTTCTAGCCTAATGAATGAATTAATGGTGTAAATAAATTAACAATTAATTACAAAAAAGAATTTTTGATTACATTCGTCAGTTTTTTGTTTTTTCGTTCATCTTTTTTCTCGTTTTAAAATAAATCAGAATTTCGTAGAATTCTACTTAAAATTTTGAGTCTAAGGGTATAAAAATGGGTATCTTATTGATATAAGAGAAAGTCAAGCATTTAATGACACACATTTTCTAGACAACATTTTTCAATGTATTTTACACCCAACGATAGATAATTTTTCAACTGTAAACATTTAAATCGAAAAGTACTATTAAAATAAGAATTACTAAATACAACTCCAAAAAAAGAATTCGATAACATAAAAAGTTTTAGATATTTGAGCTCCTCATGATTAAATTCCTAAATTCAAAATGTAATGCAATGTCCTCACAAATTCAGGAAATATTCCATGTCAAACTTATGAATAGAAATTGCTGAGCCTTAATGGGCTATATACTAATTTGTAATTATAGATAGAATTAACCTGCAGTGTTTAAAAACAGGAAAATAATATGTTATGGAGATTATAACGTCTCCCACTCCAAATATATCTGGAATTAATAATTCAGATTCGATTGAAACTTGGAACATAATCTATTAGAATCATTATATCTCTAGTTCGACAGAAAAGATAGAATCCCAGGATGGGAAAAATTCTTTTTTAGAGAAGTTCATTAACTATATTAAGTGAATTAAAATACAGTTACATCATAATTAAGTTCCTTTTAACATCGATACTAATTTTGTCTCGCAGACATGAAAATTATGAATGACCCTTCTTTTTTCTTTAAGTGACTGTGCAATTACTTTTGAACAACAATGAGACTGAAATGTATATTAGTCACATAACTAAATCAGGCAACATTCTTATAATTCTCAATTTTTGTTTTTTTTCCCTAGACTTCTTCTTCGTCTTATGGTCGAAGAAAGTAGTGCTAAAATACAGATGGGAGCCAGATTTGGTTGTCACTTTTCGCAAATCGACTTTCTTCTGGAAACAGCCGAAATACACAATCTATCTGTAGTGGGAATAAGGTATGTGAGAAAAATGATTTCAAATACATTTTTTTCATATTCTAAGCAAATCAAATTAGACGAAAATCATG